AATAAAAAAAATGTAATCAGCAAACAATTTTTCTCCCAATTAGCCGAAGAACTTGCCAGTGAATGCAGTGATATGAGAAAGGGAATCACCTTTCCGAGAACAAAACGACGAAACTGTTGCCATTAATAGGCCAAACTAAATTTATTTGCATTCAAATTATCAGAATTTTATTATGGAAAAAAAAAAAGCAGGAATGAAAGCATTTTATATCTGCAATAAATTTGATAAATATTTTTGTGGCATATGTTTATCTAGCTTAACTAACATTTCGAAAACATCTGTTTCATAATTATGGGTGCAATAAAAATATAAAAAAGCCCTTAAATAGTGTTATTCCATTTACACAAATGTGACATTAAAAAGTACAAAGGGGGTTAGTATTAAAAATTGTTCAGTAAATGTGCAAAAAAGACTGCTGCGACCATTAGAAAGAATTGATAAACCCTATTAGACCATTTTTGCACCAAACATGCAAGTGATTCTTACGAATATCGGCTCGATGACTTTTTTCGAAATGTCTTTACAAGATCGAATGTTATATTCGAAAGTAAGTCTTACTTTCTTATTTGGTCTAGGCGTATATGTGGCCCATTTTCATTCCGATTGAATTCTTATCACCATTTCTGTTCATTTTTGCGACGGTGGCTTTTTCAAATAGAAAGTGGATCATATCAACCTGCATTTCAAAAACTGAATTAAGTAGAAAAAAACTTTAATTAATTTTAAAATTTTCTAAATATAAAAGTTATCAAAAAAATAATGTTTGGAACCATATTTTTTTAAGCCGCAAATTTCAAAAGGAATTGCATTGTTAAAGGTCTATGAGAGACGCTCATTCGATAATAAAGCCAGTTTAGGGTCATCCGAAAGTAAACGTAAATAAAACATACATTCGATTGAAATTTAGATCAAATTTTCTCTCTTCCCATATATTATTTTGGTCTTGTCATTATTTGTAGAATACAATCCATATACAGCTAATTTTTAATTTTTATTTATTTGTCCTTTTAGTCCTCTAAAGTGTAAAACTGTTATCGACAGAAGGTGTAGGGCAACTTTGCAGTGCCACTATAAGAGGAATGGAGGCTTATAAGCCATGGATAGGTGCCATAAATGAGCTAGCTAGTTTGTGAGATGTGGGAGGGGTTCTCACCGATCCTACAAAAGATATCGCACGTACTTGCCGCCCCTTAGCGAATATGCGGGTTGACGGAACCCTAACTAACCGATCGGGGACCTCCTGCCTATTGGTCTCCATTCGGCCCATAAAAATGTTTGCAAGGCACCCAGCCCGTTTAATTAGGGTTTCCCCCGTTTGGTGTTCTGTAAAGGGCAAGTGCTTGCAAATTTTTTGGTGTAACCGTCCTAAAAATGAAGGAGTTTAGTTTTTATGCGTAAACAGGCGTCACATATTTGTGTCAGTTGAGGAGACCGTTTATTTGCTTTTTTAGAACGGTCTAAAGACATAAACTCTAATCCAAATTTTGGGCTAGGGTAGACCTCCCAAAAGATCCTGACAATGGAGATATAAATACACGTTTGCAATATTCGCAGATACGTTCACCGCTATTAGGCAAACTCATTAGTGATACAAGAAAATATATTCTTTCAGAGTTAAAACGTTAAATCGATTCAGAAGATATACTTTGTGGGCTTCCTTCTTGGTGTTGCAAACGTTTTACCAAAAGTGATGGGGGTATAAAAAGAGCATTGTTGTTGGTCTTAATCTATGACCTTTCTATGTAGGCTTATGGCGAGTAAATATTTTAATATACTTTTAGGCGGATGACATTACTGAAAACAACATGTTTTGTCTTTCGTGTTCATGCTTTCACATCACATAATTACAAACACATTAATCAAATTTTTTAAGCAATAGTTTCCTGTGTGTGGCGGCTCCAAAAAAAAAATAAAACAAAGAGCTTTGAAAGTTTTATATCTTGATCTCTTTTAGTTGCGATTATACATACTATTGAAAGAGTTTCTCTTTATTAAAATAGTTTCAAAAGAATTCTCTTCGAACATGTCACCACAAGAGATATTGTAATTGTTGCAGTTAAGATCATTACAAGAGAAGTAGACTTTTTCTCTTTATCGTTGTCTGCATTTTCTTTAGCACGCGAAACCTTATTTTTTTTTTTTGTAATTCTTAAATATCCTCTCAATTATATAGATGTAGATATACATTTTTGTTAGATTATCGGTGGTCATGATAAATAATGAAAATAAACTTTGAAAAGAATGTTACAAACATATTTATACATTTAATCACAAAGATAAGCCTGATAGATCGTCATTCTAATAGCCTTGAATAACAAGGAAAATTTTATTAATTCTTAAAATAGTATTAGTCATGAAGAATACTTTATATATATTATAAGCGATTATGGAATATACTAACGTCGCTTCGAAAATCTCCACTATACTGTCTTCATATATCTTTATCATATCATGAGGTGTGTATTACACTTGTTAAAGCCTTATGTGCTTACAAACTATATGAGCAACTTATAGATCGGCACAAGCAGTAGAATCCACTTGACTATGTCTGCCTACTGAAGAACAAAATTTTCATGCTCTGTAATATGGAGTGGACGCAGCTGATTTCTTCTATTTTCAAAATAAAAGTTTTTTTCGTATAGGCATGTAGGCGTTGTAGACGTGTCCTTTGCAGAGTTTAGGTCAATTTCATATTCTTTTACAAATTTGTAGGCGATATGTTCATTTCGCTAACGCTATAATTACTATCCGAAAGATGGACAGATGAAGAAGCAGACATGTTTAGGTGCATTCAAGATTTGAAACAGGCCAAGAATTTGTATACTTAATGGGGTTTTTGAAGATTGTTTCTGCGCGTTATAAAGGTATTGAAGAAATAAATAAAGTTTGATACACTATAATATTGGGTAGGCGTGATCAATTTTGCCCATTTTCGTGCAGAAATGGAACAAAATCGCCCATAGAAAATGCTTTTCAGTTTTTGGACATTTATTTATTATTTTTGTGCATATATTGTAGCACGCTAGTATATATTGTACTATAGAATATAGCAGAGTAGAGTGTACTAGAGTATATTATACTAGTACTACACTATACTATACTGGTACTATACTATACTATACAATACTATGCTATACTAGCATTGTACTATGCTAGCATTGGACTATACTAGTATTGGACTATGCTAGCATTGGACTATGCTAGCATTGGACTATACTAGTATTATGCTATACTATACTCACACCCGTTTTTCGCTAACATACCAAATTTCAAAAGATCGTTAAAAATAGATCCCGAAAGAAAAGTTTAATTTCTTTCTGCTCATTCGATAGGTACTTTTATATAGATTCACACGACGTACGTGCATATAGATGACATTTTCTAGTTTGGCTTCACCAGAGTCTCAAATTCGAGTGTTCTTTCGCACTCATGAAAATTGTTTTTATATAGATTCATGAGATGTCCACAAAAAAAATAGTTTACGTTGTTTAATAGCGAGGGAATAGGCTTTCAAATCCAACTATATCTTAATTTCAAATATTTAACAAATCTCTGTTAAAGCGTTTACAGAGTTTCGTTAACAGATATGGTAGGTGTCTTTGCTGGTTAAATTCGAATTTATCTTCACACCCTTATTTCAATACTGCTTAACATTGGGTAGGCGTTGTCGATTTCTAAATGGATTATTAGCATAAAAGATGAATTGTCTAAAGTTCTTGTTGCCGTTACATTCATGCACACGAACTTACTATATCCGATACTGCAATATATATTTCAAAATTAAATTTGGGCTTTTAAGATTTACATCTTGGCATTAAGTTTTCTATGCGTTGCTCCCATTCAGTGGAGCAACATTACGTTTGTGAGAGAAATTGAACAAGAGTAGCAGAAAGAGAGTCAAAAATTTTATTTCCACCATAAGCCGAATAATTAAGAAAATTACTTTTATGTTCTTAATGGTGTATTAAAGGAAGAGAATTTTCTTAATATTTGGAAAATTATGTCATTTCTATCTTGACCTCTTATCAGGTCATGCATGCATATAGATATTTATTTTTATAACGATTGAAAATCTGTATACATATATACAGTAATTTATTAAACAATAATGCGCAAGCAAGTATTGCTTTCTATTTAGTTTCATATCCAAACGAATGTCTATGCTTCATGAATATAACCTTTAACTGACATTGAGTATCTACTGTTGCAAGTTTTTAATATGGAAAAAATTTTCTTAAATATATGTAAATAACTTTTTTCAGCAAACGTTGAACAATAAAAAATAATAATAATAAAGTGCTACAGTATGGTCGAAGTACAAGCCTGCAACTCAGTATAAATGATCTACAATTTTTTCTTAAATATCTGAGATATATATATGTATATATATAAAATAGTTGTATATTTGCCAAGAGTATATGCATAGCTCATGTACATAAAATATTCAATATGCGACCAAAATTCCATAAACAAAATTTATAATAAAAATAAATACATGAACTTATAGAATGACAGAAAAGAATTAAGGGTGCGAAGATAAATTCGAATTTAACTAGGACAGACCCCTCCTATATCTGTTAACGCCCTAACAGAGCTCTGTTAGATAATTAAAATTAAGATATAATTGGTTTCGAAAGCCTACTTCGCCCATATTCTGTGGATATTTCATCAATCTACATGAAAATACCTTTCAAACAAACCGAACAAATTCAAATTCTGGGAATAGGAATTATTTTTAACAATTTTTTGAAATTTGGTATGTTAGCGAAAAATGCGTGTGCGCATAGTATAGTACTAGTATAGTATTGTCCAATATATATAAATACAATATACTCTATACTATACTACAATACCATAGTACAATATATTCCAGTAAAAAATACACTATGCTGTGGTACAATTTATTCTAGTATGTTATT